GTGGAGGTGGGAGTGGTGGAGGTGGGAGTGATGGAGGTGGAGGTGGGAGTGGTGGAGGTGAGAGTGGTGGAGGTGGGAGTGATGGTGGAGGTGGAAGTGGTGGTGGCAGCGGTGGGAGTGGCAGCAGAGGTGAGGGTGCTGGATTGGGAGATGCAGTGGCAGCCGCGTGTATCACAGGAGCTCAGGATGGAGAGGAGCTTTGGTGCCAGCTAATCTACCACCAGCCCCTCCTCAATCCCCCTGACGGACGAGGGACGGGGATCTCACGTCCCTCGGCTGAGGCAGCCCACTGTGGAAGGCTCGACATCTGAGCTGCCCTCCCTTTCCTGAGCTGGCCTCTGGGACCTCTCACCGCTGGTTCTTGCTAATGAGGAACAGCCTCTGTCCCGGCCTTTAGTTTTCTTGTGGCTTCATCCTGACTGACTCTCAGAAGGGCCCAGGGAGGACAGCCCAAAGACATTTTATCCACTTAGTACACATCGAACATCCATTAGGCACCTACTGGATGCTGGGCCCAGGGCTAGGTACTGGAGACATAAGGCTGAATATTTTAAGGTTAGTAGTATAATCTCAGTTTCACGGGGAAATAATCGCAGCCCGGAGTAAGTGAGCGATTTCCCCCAAGACTGCACTTCTCAGGACGAAGTGAAGGCCCTAGACCTGAAATGCCACGTTCCTTCCCTCGCCCCACTGAAGATTAGGTAACTGGCCACCTGGGCAAGGCCGGAGGTGGAGCGACAGCCTGAGTCTGCAAGTGAAGACACGGTCTGGGGAGCCATCACAGCAGCGATGCAGACCCGTTTTGGGGGCCTGCTCTCCCCATTCCAGGCCAGTGGGATGTGAACCCAGAGAATCCTCCTGCAGCCCCAGTCAAGGCCACTAGCCCAGCGAGTGCTCACCATGGTCAGCACAACTTCCCGCAAACCTAAAAGACATTCTTGGACCAGTGTGCACGCCTGAAAGGAAATATCTCAGTGACTGAGCCTGCAGTACTCAAGGGCCCCACTTCTGACGCACACAGACTTGGGAAGCATGCTCCCCTGTGTCCTTGGGAAGCCTTTTCCGGCCAGCTGCCTGAGGAGGGAGCAACCGAGGACAGGGGTGGCAGGAACGGTTCCCTGGTCCCTGTCCCCACCACCGACCACAAACATTTCTCCTTGGGAAGAACACAGGACAACGGGGCATGGAGCCCGTGCCGTCTGCCAGGAAAGGACATTTCCATCAGGTCAAGACCAACAGGACCACCAGGGTCAGAGCCAGCTTCTGAAGGCATGGGGTCATCCAGGCCCGCGTGGACCACAGCGACCACAGGGCTGATAAGTTTGAAAACCAGAGAAGATTGAGGAGCTGGACGGCTCGAGTAATATAAACACTAGGGCATCCAGGTCTCTAAGCATAACCTCAGCACTCTGGCAGACCAAGTTGGCTCCTGGAGGACTCCAAGTGTGTTGTCCCAATTTTAGAGTTCCCAGTAGCCACTGGAGGAGCGTTCAGTACGTTACTGCTGTTGTTGTCGTTACCTGCTGTCAAGTCAGCCCCCAACTCATGGAGACCCCACGCGCAACAGAATAAAATGCCGCCCGGTCCTGCGCCATCCCCATGATCAGTTGCGTATTGGACCATTGTGATCCATAGGGTTTTCATTGGCTGGTTTTCGGAAGTGGATCGCCAGGCCTTTTTTCCTAGTCCATCTTAAGTCTGGAAGCCCTACTGAAATCTGTTCAGCATCACAAGCAAGCCTCTACTGACAGACAGGTGGTGGCTGTGCTTTAGGTACATTGGCCAGGACTGGAACCCGGGTCTCCCGCATGGAAGGCGAGAATTCTACCATGGAGCCACCGCTGCCCCGGCCAGCCCTATGCAGAGTGCTCGGCACACACCAACAAACCAGTTGTCTTGGAGTCAATTCTGACTCATGGCGGCCCCATGTGTGCAGAGTAGAACTGCTCCACAGGGTTTTCACAGCAGATGCTTATATACACTTTTTGTTGTTGTTGCTGCGTGCCATTGAGTCGCTTCTGACTCACAAAGACCACGTAGGACAGAGCAGAACTGCCCCCACAGGGTTTTCTAGGCCGTAATCTTTACAGGAACAGATCGCCAGGTCTTTCTCCCACGGAACCAGTGGGTGGGTTCGAACCGCCAACCTTTCGGTTAGCAGCTGAGTGCTTAACTATTGCACCACCAAGGCTCCTCTAATTTAAAAAAAAAAAAAAAACAAGTTGAAATCGAGCCAATTCCAACTCATAGTGACCCTATAGGACAGAGTAGAGCTGCCCCATAGGGTTTCCAAGGAAAGACTGGTGGATTCGAACTGCTGACCTTCTGGTTAGCAGCCGAGCTCTTAACCACTGTGCCACCAGGGCTCCTCCTCTACACTGGACTGAAATAAGAATTCAAACCCGGGACAGTCCCTCCACTGAAATATAAGGGAAGTGACAAAAGAAAGGCACCAGCACCTCTGTTAGCCGGCCTAGGACCTCGTTTCACTTCTCCCACTAAATCCAGAGAAATGACCCTAAAAAAGAGCTAATGGAGAATGCTGGCTATCACACAGAGCCCATGCAGAGAGGCCTTCATTTGGGTACCAGTTTCATACCCCTGGTCCCAACCTCCTCCAGCAAGTAATCAGCACAGTCAATGGTACTGAATTCCGACGTGGTGGCTTTGGAGAGAAATGAATGTTCTTTTCAGAAATGTGGGAAATTAAACCTCAACGCTCTCCTCCTCTGGGTTTGCCTTTCTTCAAATCAACGCCATTGTTCCTGCGCCAATCATTTACTTCAAAGCCAGGGAGACGTACATTTTGTCAAGAGGGGGAAAAAAAAGTAAGATAACCTCTTAAGAAATAAAGGCAGCGAAGTTCAGGAAGAAAGAAGTCACAGCGCCTCCCCAATGCAGTTACGGACAAGTCGACCGTGCACAGACAAGCGCGCTGTACTCACCCGCACGACCACGACCTGCACAGAGACATGTTCCGGAAGCCGGATCGGGGCCCGGAAGTGCATGGCCAGAGAGATGAGGAGATGGAGGATGGCTACGAGATTCTTCCCGTGAATTGCTTTGGGAGACAAGGGGAGAACAGGAATGCTTTATATCAGGTCACAAAGGAATCCTGTCTTAGTTATCAAGGTTCCTGGCTAGCACAAACGGTCTGCGCTCAGCTACTGACCGAAAGGTTGGCAGTTCGAACCCACCCGGTGGTGCCACAGAAGAAAGGCCTGGTGGTCTACTTCCATAAAGGTCACCCTGTGAGAACCCTAGGGAGCAGTTCTACTCTAAAATACACAAGGTCGCCATGAGTCAGAATCAACTCATTGGCAGCAGATTTGGTTGTTTTTCTGTCTTAGTTACTGTCTTAGTTATCCAGTGCTGCTGTAACATAAATACTACAAGTGGATGGCTTTAACAACAGAAATTTATTCTCTCACAGTCTAGGAGTCTAGAAATCCAAATTCAGGGTGACCAGCTCCAGAGGAAGGCTTTCTCTCTCTGTCGGTTCTAGGGGAAGGTCCTTGTCATCAATCTTCCCCTGGTCTAGGAGATTCTCAGCACGGGGACCCCATATCCAAAGGACACGCTCTGTTCCTGGTGCTGCTTTCTTGATGGTATGAAGTCCCCTCATCTCTCTGCTCACTTTTCTCTTTTATATCTCAAAAGAGACAGACTCAAGATAAAACCTAATCCTGTAGATTGTGTCCTGCCTCATCAACATAACTGCCTCTAATCCTGCCTAATTAACATCATAGAGGTTAGGATTTACAACACATAGGAAAATCACATCAGATGACAAAATGGTGGACAACCACACAATACTGGAAATCCTGGCCCAGCCAAGTTATGTTAATGAGGCAGGACACAATCTACAAAATTAGGTTGTATCTTGAGTCAATCTCTTTTGAGATATAAAAGAGAGAAGTGAGTAGAGAGATGGGGGGACCTCCTACCACCAAGAAAGCACCACTGGGAGCAGAGTGCATCCTTTGGACCCAGGGTACCTGTGCTGAGAAGCTCCTAGACCAGGGGAAGATTGATGACAAGGACCTTCCCCCAGAACCGACAGAGAGAGAAAGCCTTCCCCTGGAGCTGGTGCCCTGAATTTGGACTTCTAGCCTTCTAAACTGTGAGAGAATAAATTTCTCTTTGTTAAAGCCATCCACTTGTGGTATTTCTGTTATGGCAGCACTAGATGACCGGGACTCCCTATTTCCAAACAAGGTCATATTTACCGGTACCACACTGTTGTCGTCAAGTCAATTCTGACTCATAGTGACCCTACAGGATGGAGTAGAATTGAACCATAGCATTTCCAAGGCTGTAATCTTTACAGAAGCACATCGTCAGGTCTTTTTCCCTCCAAGCAGCTGGTGGGTTTGAAAAGCTGACCTTTCAGTTAGCAGCAGAGGCCTTTGACCACTGCGCCACCAGGGCTCCTTATTTACAGATACAGGAGTCAGGATTTCAACACATATTTGAGGGGAACACAATATAATCCATAAGAAACCCCAAGCCCACATTCAAATGGCAATAAAGATGCTGCATCTACATGACACCTCAGAGAGATGGGGTGGCAGTGAACCTCAGAAAATTTAAAGTTCATGAGCATCCCTGGCTGAATGTATTTCTTGTTTCTCAGAATTACTAAGATTCTCTCCTGTTGGCCTAAGGTTACTTGTGCAAAACCTTTTTTTTAAGTTGTGGTAAAATACATATATATAACAAAACATTCACCATCTCAACCATTTTTCCTTGTACAATTCAGCAGCATTAATTATGTTCATCATGCTGTGCAACCATCACCACCATCTGCTTCCGGATTTTTCCATCACCTTTAGCAGAAACTCAGTGCCCCCGAAACAATGGCATCCCCAGCGTTTACATAGTGCTCTTTCAAGGGAGTAACTTGGGTGGCAAGAAGAAAAAGGAATGAGCAGGGTAGGAAAATGAACACAACACGAGGAAAAAATCAGGAAAAATAGGTCATCAGGGCCACTTACTCGTGAAAATAATGTCCCACCATTATCTTCGGCACTTAGAAAGCTCTCCCCACCATGCAATCAGCTGTCTGAACCACGGGAGGCTCTCCGGGGCAAGGGATGCTTTGGGGATGGTTAGAAGTAAACTCCTGGGCTGCCTAGGTCAGTCTTTGGCCACCATCACCAACTTATTCAGCATGTGGACCAAGATGTGGTCCTTCCGTGCAGAGCTTTGTGGTTGACAAAGCCCTCATTCCACACCGTAACCCCGATAACCACAAGGCAGGCTTGGGGCTGTCCGTGGTCACCATGCCAAGAAACTGGGGGCCAAGAATCAAGGCCCCTCCAAGTGTCCCACAGGATGGGGCTCATTACACCAAGCCACAGAGGGAAGCCTCCAGCCAGGAGGGAAAGCCCTGCAAAGAGGATGGGGAGGTGGGTGACATCCTTAATGGAGGAAGAGCAGACAGGGCCGAGAACTTGCCAGCTTCTCTGACTTTAAGTCTTCCTCATCCGGGTTCACTTCTTGGCTGGAAATACTGTGATGTCACCTGCTTCTAAAGCTGGCACGTGCTGTGGGACACAGCCCCGTGGTCAGCGTGAATCAATTCCACATCCTACTTTGATTATCGATAAAACAGCTCATTTGGTGTTGATGCCATTGGTATTTGGGGTTGGGTCCCATCCAAGACCCCCACGGAGCTGCTTCTGCCTTACAAATTCTTATGGATTGAATCTGGCCTCTAAAAAGATACACTGAAGTCCAAATCCCTGTATCTGTGAACATGACCTTGTTTGGGAAGGTCTTTGAAGACACTACTATCTGTTAGGTTAGCATGAGGTCATACCGGAGTGGGGGTGGGAGGTCCTAATCTGATCTGAGTGGTGCCCTTACAAAAGAGAAGAGACACAGGGAGACACTCCGAGGGAAGACAGTCATGTGACAAAGAAGTGATGCTGCAGCAGCAAGCCAAGGAACGCCTGGGGCCACCAGAAGCTGCAAGAGGCACGGAAGGATCTTCCCTAGAGCCTTCCAAGACAGCATAGCTCTGCTGACGCCCTGAATTTGGACTTCTAGCCTCCAGAACTGTGCAACAATACATTTCTGTTCATCTAGACCACCTAGTTTGTGGTACTTTGTCATAGCAGCCCTAGAACACTCATGTAAATTGTTGTTAGGTGCTGTCGAGTTGGTTCCAACTCATAGTGACCATATGTACAACAGAATGGAACACTGTCTGGTCCTATGCCATCCTCACAATCGTTGTTATGTTTGAGCCCATTGTTGCAGCCACTGTGTCAATCCATGTCATTGAGGGTCTTCCTCTTTTTCGCTGACCATCTACTTCACCAAGCATGATGTCCTTCTCCAGGGACTGGTCCCTTCTGATACCATGTCTAAAGTATGTGAGACAAAGTCTCAGCATCCTCACTTCTAAGGAGCATTCTGGCTGTACTTCTTTCAAGGCAGATTTGTTTGTTCTTCTGGCCGTCCATGCGATAGTCAACATTCTTTGCCAACAGTGATGCTCCCAAAAAACCCGAACCCCCATCCTTCCCCTTGGAGCCTTCCTTGGTCCACCCAACCAGTCAGGCCTCTCTCCTCTGAAGCACAGAAAAAACAGAGCATTTGAGGTGTGACTTACTTCATCTATGAGCCCCGAGAGTGGGGACATTGACTTCTGCCTCATATATTGCCTCCCACAGAGCGGGGGCCATGAAACAATTTTTGGGTCCCTAGCGGCTACTCACCGTCGACATTCCAGCGGAGCACCCAGCCGTGGGGCCGCAGCAGCTCGTGCACAGCCTCCAGCACTGTCTGCAGCTTCTGTTTCTGCCCGATTTCCGACTGGGTCACCTCGGCCACGTTCAGCTTGCAGTCCCCCAGTTTCTCTGCAAAGACACGGACCAGAGGAAAAGGCAGGGTATTAGAAAAAGCTGGAGGGACTCAGGGCCGAGAGGAAAGCTGGCTGGGATGTGGTCCCCCTCTGCCACCTGGTCCCCAAAGCGAAGACGGTTACTATGCACGGATGGGGGTTTCCAAGATGTTGGGTCAAGGAACATGGAGCCTTCAGGTCCCTCATCTTTCCTAGAAAATTACTCCAGAATGAAAAAGGGGTGGGGGGAGCATTCAAGGGTAAAACTGGGAGTTCCCTACTCAAGAACATTCTATTCACATACAACGGAAAATATAATTCAAGGTCCACAAGGAGGTCACCTCAGCAGGGGAGGTGGGTGGGGAAGGCTGTGCTCGTGGGTTCCCAGGAGGACGAAGCCTGTGATAAAGAAAATAGCAAGGGTCTTAACTGTACAGCTTCTGCCTCCTGCATACAGATGTCCCTATTCTTGTTTCTCTAACACTGACACCACAATAAGAAGAATTATTAGATATTCATAGATACTCGGCGACGGTTTTATCACCTAGAGTGAGCAAAGGAAGCAATCTAGAAAGGCCCAGACAAGACTGTCACAGCCACTTGAGATTCAATGATGAAGACTCCAGCCCAGCACGACCTGTGTGCCTGCAAGTTTTGCGGAGCAGACCGGAGACACCTGCCACCCGACACACGACCCTCCACCTGCTGAAGGGCAACGGGGCTGTGGGATCCCAGGTGTCCCTCCTATTCATTCATTCTAAGACCTGGGTGTTTCCTGATCTATCCCCTCTGCAGAACAGCAAAGCGATGTTACAGAGCACCTGAGATAATTCACTAGCAGTGATTACAAAGCATTCGGCGCAGGGCCCGACTCGGCGGAAACTGCAGTCAGCGCCGACGGCCTGGATGGCTTATTATGAAAGCAGTCAAACCCAGGCTGATTGCAAACGGGGCTTCCATGTTGTAAGGGAGCCCTAGCAAAGTTCCGTTTAAAGCATCTTGTTGGAGGCTTCTGCGAACTTACCGTTCTCTCCCCAGACTTCTCCCCTTCCTCAATTAGAACAAGAATGATGGCTTTCGATATTCTCTTCAGGACGATAGAATTATACAGCGATGCCTGCTGGGCTCGGGGCACCCCTTCATTCATTTGCTCACAAAATAGTTACTGTGAACCTACTATGCGCCAGGCGCTGTTCTGGGTGCTGGGATACGCTGTGGACAAGAGAGGACCCTACTGGGGAGACCCCTCCAAAAAAAAAACCCCAAACCAGTTGCTGTTGAGTAGATTCTGACTCATGTGACCCCAGGTGTGTCAGAGTAGAACTGTGCTCCAAAAGGTTTTCAGTGGCTGATTTTTCTAAAGTAGAGCACCAGGCCTTTCTTCTAAGATGCCTTGGGGTGGACTCGAACCTCCAACCTTTTGGTTAGCAGCCAAGCACTTAACCGTTTGTGCCTCCCCAGGGGACTCCCAGTAGGAAGACACTGAAATAAAGCAATAAATCAAACCCATTGCCATCGTCAATTCTGACTCGTGTGTGTCAGAGTGGAACTGCTCTAGAGGCCTTTCTTGGCTGTGATCTTTACCAAAGCACATTGCCAGGCCTTTCTTCTGAGGCCACTGGATGGGTTTGAACCACCAACCTTTTGATTAGTATTTGAGCACAAACCGTTTGTACCACCAGGGACAGTGGGAGACAGCTTACCTAATAAACCGCAGGCCGGACAGGGTGAGGGATGGGAGGAAAGCCAACTGCACAGTACTCCGCACTTGGAAGGGGAATGGAAACAATTCTCACTGTCTGCATTTTCACTTCCCTCCATCTGTGTCTAACAGGTGCCGCCTGGGTAATCCAAAGCTGAAAACACAGAGGCCTGCAGGGGATTACGAGCCCGGGATGGAGCAGCCTGGGGCCCCTGGGGAAGGATGGGGTAAGAGGGGGTCACAGAGATCTACGTAGTCCGAGAGCCCGGCCCACTGGGGGAGAGGGGGTCCTGGCACATCTCTGCCATCCTGCAGATTGAATACGGCCCAACATCCATCTGGGGTGGAGGAGGAGTCAGGTGGAGAAGGAAGATCCCAATGGGGGCTGGCTATGCCTGGGTGCTCCTGTAACACTGGGTCTTTTTTCAAAAAAATTTTTGGTGAAAATATACACAGCAGAATTTACACCCATTCACCAGTTTCTACACATACAATTCAGTAACGTTGGTTACATCCTTCACATGCGTCACCCTTCTTGCTGTCTCTACCTGTGCTGTTTCACCACCACTGACCTAGACTTACTACCTCCTACATCCCTCATCTACGCTTTAGAGTTACTGTTGACAATTTGATTTCATATACGTAATTCTTTCAAAGAGTGCAATTCTCGTGGTGAACATTCTTTACTCATTTATCTAAATAGTTGCTTATTTTCAAGATGACTTCAGGGGATAACTTTGGTCCATGGTTTGAAAATTTTCTCAGAGCGAAAGATTCGGGGGTTCCTCCCATCTCAATAGATCCAGTAAGTATGGATTCTGTAAGAATTTTAAATTTTGTTCCACATTTCCCCCCTTTGGATCAGGATTCATCTACTGATTCATAGGCAGGGTCTTGGTGACTCTCCACGTGGGAGAGAATAAGGTCTTTGGCATCACCAGGCATCACTTTGCCTGCTGATAGGAGGCTACAGAGCAGCTCAGAGTTTTGCCATGGCCAAGACCCCTGTCTTCCTAGCATGGAAAGAGGCAGAGGAAGGGGGCAGGGATGATTCCTAAGAGGAAAGAAGAGCAGCAGGCAAGCAGGGCTGATGGCTCAATGTGGGGATTGTGAACATTTACCCGATTTTTGCAGGGAGAGGGTGTGTCCATGAGTTCAAGCACAACAACAGCTGGTCTGGGAGCTCCATCATGACTCCAGCGTGCACGGCCTCACCTTGAAAGTAATACCTCAAGAACAGGAGAGCTACACCCACAAAAATCCTGTGAGGTGGCAAAGAATCAGGCAGTTGCTTCCCAAATCTCCTCTTAAGAAGAGGAGTTCATCCTGAGTCCAGTGGAGATTCATCCTTGTCCATTTCCACGTGACTGAATCCAGAAATCCATTCTCTCTCCACGTCTCTCTCACCCCCGCCTCCTTGAAACACCTTCACCTCTATCCTCCCAGAAGGCAACAGCTCCTCTGGTTCCTCCTCCCTCACAGCTGATTCTTCTCCGCTGACCACCCAGGGCCCCACTACAGATACACAGAAGTTGGCTTTGGTGTTGATGCGCAGTCGGAATCTACTGTTTAGATTTGGCTCTGCCTTTGAAAAGCCAAACATCCGAACACCTACATCAATGTCATTCTCGGCATCCCTGGGCTGGGCTGGCATGATCATGTGGTTTACTATCACATCTTGTCAGTGTAACAACATCATTAATACAACCAGGCATGACATTTTCATGTTCTATCAATATCCCAATATTCTCTTCCATTGTTCTTTTTTTCAGTCAAACAAAGTGGTGTGTCAAACCACTTGACGTACAAGAGATTTTAGAATTGTCTTATCAAGTACTCATTCAAGATACTCAAACAAGATGGAACAGCAGCTTCTCCATGGTAAAAAGGCTGCCTGAGCCAAAGTCAGTCTCACGGTGTACTCTACAGATAACAAAACTGACATAGCAGGATTAACAAGCACAGCGGCTTCAGAGCACGTCTGTGTCAGCTGGGCCAGCTGAAGAGGGAACCAAAAGGATGTGATCTCTGCTACAAAATCCCACCACTCTGCTCCAGGGAGGGTGCTGATATTGCATGCAGACCAACAAGGCAGAGATGCAGATGTAAATCCAGAGCCTGTCCTGTGGTCCTGAGAGCCAGTTCCAGATCTCCATGGCCACATTGCTCGATCTAGGGCTTAGGGACACAACTGTCTCAAGTGGTAGGGCAAAGCCACAAATGCATGCAAAAGAATCAGAAATAAAAAAGCGAGCGCAACACCCTAAAATTTGCTCCTGAAAATATTAGGAAGTATCTCCTTCAGGCAGTGAGCAAAGCACCAATTCAAGGGACACCAATCAAAGAGCATCACCATTGTTTGGCAGGTCCTCAAAAAGTTAAACAGAGTTACCATCCAACACAGCAATTCCACTCCTAGGTATAGACCCAAAGGACTTGAAAACAGAGACTCAGACAGATACAGTAACTCGTACAACAGGATTCACTGCAGCTTTATTCACAAGCGCCAAAAGGTGGAAACAACCCAAGTGTCCATCAGCTGACGATGGACAAACAACATGTGATGTCCCCATACAACAGAGTATTGCTTAGTCATAAAGAGACACGAAGCTCTTACACACGCGACGACATGGGTAAACCTTGAGAACGTTATGCTCTGGGAAAGAGGCCAGATACAAAAGGACAAATGTTGTGTGATTCCACTTAGGTGACATAGCTACAAGAGGCAAATGCATTCAGACAAAAGTAGATTAGAGGTTCCCAGGGGCTGGGGGGAGGGGACAATGGACGTTCATGACTAACGGGTATGGCGTTTCCGTTTTGGGTGTTGAAAAAGTTTGAAAACAAATAGTGGTAATGGTTGCACAATCTGGTGAGTGTAATTAATGCCACTGAATTGTATTATACACGTAAAAACAGTTAAAATGGCAAATTTTATGTTATATATGTTAAAAAAAAAAAAAGGGAGGGGGCCGTCATCACCAATGGTCAAATCTTCAAGTCCAAGAGTTGAAGTAGCCCCAAGTCTCTACCTTAACCAGTTACTCTCAGAGAGGAAGGAAAGCTGGTAACCCAGCAGCAGTACCCTTGCAGACAGCGTCACCCAAAGAGCAGCACGTCCCTCTGCCGTTCTCAGGTGGAGGTGAGTGTCTACCACTGCAATGTCCGGTTTGATGACCTCGAGAGCCATCTCCCACCCAGCAGCGCTCACAAGTGACTGTCCCCAACAACAACATCAAACATCAAAACTCTGACCATAACATTTTCAGTAATAAGGCTGTGATCATTATAAAACAGGAGACCCTGGGGGGCAC